GGGAGAGGCCACCGCACTCCAGTCTGGGAGACAGAGTGAGACTCCGACTCAAAAAAAAAAAAATCTATGTCTAGCCTTTACTAGCTTCTCTGCCTCAACACCACTTAGAGATGGTCACAATTTCACAGCCACACAAACTCCTATTCAGGCGAGGGACCCCTCAGCATCTCAGGAACATTGCCTCGCACTGATCCAGCTCCCCCAGATCAGACGTGGGGCCTACCAAGAGCTGCTGCACACGGGATCCCTGGAGACGCCCCCAAACCTCGTGAGGCAGGTGTTGTGATCCACCCCCGTCCAGATGACAAGATCAAGGCTCAGTGACGCACCAAGGTCAGTAGGCACCAAGCTGGGATTCCAACCCGCTAGCCTTGCCCCTCTCCCTGCCACCTCCCAGCAAGTAAAAGCTGCTGCTCGACCCTAAATAAACCAGCCCAAGCTCTGAGCCAGAGGCAGAGGCAGACCCACCAGAGACAGCACGTGGCCCCAACAAAGACACATCAGGTGGGCTGCTCTCCCCATCCATGCCCAGCCCAGCGTGCTTCTTGGCAGCCCAGGCAGCTCCTGTCATCCACTGAGCACCTCGAGGCCTTTGGGCATCATCCCAGCCCTTGGGCCACTCCGCCCAGGACCCGGGAAGACTCTGAACCCCTTCCCTGTGTGTAAAGCCCTAGACTCCCTCACTCCCTGCTGGGGCCACACCCTGCCTTCCCTCCAAGCTCAGGTCTCCAGCTGCAGTCGCTCTCTGCCCATCCACAAACCTCTCCCTCTTGCCAGGAATCAGCCCTTCAGATCAGAACAGGCCTTGCCTCAAGCCTCAGTTTACCCATCTGTAAAGCGGGGGACATCAGTGGTCATGAGAGTAAAGCGAAAATGTGTGAAAGAACAAGGAAGAGTTGACAGTGAAGCCAGGCCACTTCTTGTAACTCAGAGGAAACTGAGGTACAAGAGGCCAGAAGCCAGAGTTGGTCCAGGAAGGAGCAGGAGAGAACCAGCCTGTCTCCCGAGGCCCAAGGCCACAGCCACTTCTGAGTCCCTGTCATCTCTCGATGGATTCTTGCAGGACTCTGCCTTGTTCCCTCAGATCCGTTCTCCTGTCAGGACCAGAATCAGATAACACCCATGATCTCCACCAGGTGCTAACGCCTTCTATGGCTCCCTACTGCCCTTGGGAGAAAGCCTAGCCTCCCTGAGTGTGGACAGTGACGGGGGTCCCTCACCTCTGCCCCTGATGCAGCCTCACCTCAATACTTCTTGCCCACTCCAGGGCTTCTCTTAGCCCAAATTTCTTTCAGCTCCCCAGACATGCCACATATACACACAGATGCACCTCTGAGCTCCTGCACATGCTGTGCCCTTTAACTCAGCACCTCCTCCAGGAAGCCTTCCCTGATACCCCTCCAGTGACTCTGGGACCCCTCCCATGTATTCCTCAGCCCCCGTTCCGCCTTTCACTAGATGAAACCCCCCTGTCATGGACATTTATCTCTCGGCCTCTCCCATCAAGCAATGGCCTCCTGCAGGCCACAGGCCTGGTCCTTTTGTCTCCTTGAAAGGACATAGCATGGAGTTAACATACCCAAAGAGCAGCTATTTTAGCACTGATCAGTTGCCATGTTTTTCCAGCAGTTCGCTTTAACTTGTCCTCTAATCATTAGCCAAGGACAGTTTCTCAGAGATAGCTATTGACAGTTGTTTTACAACCCCCTCCCCAGCTTGTTTTGGACTAATTCATTTTTCTATTTCAAGTATTTGCCTCCACCCATAAGACCCAAGTTAACCTAATCAGCCCTTTCTTGACACAGACTCCATGACCATGGCAGCAATCTGGTGACTAACCCACCCATTTGCCCGCTGTCCATCGCCTGACATCAGTACCTGCACTTACCTGTCCCTTCGTGATGATGTGGGGCAGACCACCACCTTAACGATCAAAAGGGGAATATTTAAAAGCATTCAACCTCAAGTAACCATTGGCCATTGCTCTGCTAAGCTATAATCTGACCATGTGGCTTCTTGAGCTACGGTCACGGTCACAGTGTTTCCTAGCTTTGGCCTCCTCCCCTACCTTGGGGAGGTAAAGTTCCTCTCTCCCTCTCGCCCTCTTTCCCTCTCTTTCTCTCATTTACTTTCTAAATAAACGATATTTTCTAATCTAACTTCCGTGAAATTCCTTGCATCTTTCATGCAGCACCGGATCGCACACACACCTCTATCAGGCCTGACCTAACACTCTACTCCTTGTCCTGACACCGGGCTCTTCTGGGGGGGGGGAGCTGAGCAGCGTCCACCTTCTGAGCCCCCTCCCTGGGCTCTGACTCCCACTGCCAGATTGAGCTAAGTCATAAATCTGGTCCCTGGATTTCCATGGGGAGAAGTTTGGGAGTCCAGCCCCAGGCCCTAACTGCTTCTCTGTGCAGCCTGGGCCCTAGGTGACACCAGTCAGCCTCAGTCTCACACACCGCAGAAAGCAGGAGAGTGCATGCACACCTCCAGTGCTCCCTCCCCAAGCTCCATGCTCCCAGCTGCCGGTAGCCCAAGTGATGCCACACGCTCTCCCAGACCTGCTTCTCCCTCCCACTTGCTGGGACCCCAAACCTCCTCATTCTTACCTCACACCCCGCCTGCCGACAACTCTGCCATCTGGCCTTCAAGTGACCTGGGACTGGGGCTCTTCCCGCCAGCCTCCCCGGCCACTCCTGGTCCAGCCTCCCGGTGGCACCTGCTTGCCCGCTTTGCTGCAGGCCCTCCCTCCCCAACTCCGCCAGCATCCCAAGTCTGCTCTCAACACAGTCCCCGAGGGAGCCTGTAAAAGAAGCCAGGCCATTCCTGCCCTGCTCTCTGGCCGACTTTTGCCACGAAACAGCCTCCAGACAGCGGAACTTTCTCAAGTTTGGAGCTCGGGCCAGATGGGCTAAGGAAAAGCTGAGGAAAAGCTGGTAAGCCCGAATAAGGCAGAGGGTGAGTAGAATGGGGGAGAAGAGATGGGGGAGTCCAGGTCAGAGGAGCTGGGGGGCTGGAAGGGGGCCTGAGGCTGGTGGTTTCAGTCCCTGGGAACCCTGAGGCTGGCACTGCAGGGATTTGTGTGAGGAGGGGACCCAACAATAGTTAAAACTTCACAGGCGGCAGGAAACAAAGGGACAAGCAGCCTGCTGGGGCAGGGGAGGGGGACGGGGACCATCTGCTGCAGAGGAGGGGAGGTGTGGGGGGCGCTGTCAGGAACAGAAAGGCCTCCTGGGGCACAAGCCCCGCCTCCCTCACCCACCCCTCGGCCCAGGACAAAGGCCGCACACGAGCCCAGCCCGGGCCACAAGGCCCACCTGCCGCCCCACCGCCCTTAACCAGCCGGGGTGGCGCCCTGCATGCAGTTAACCAGCTCAAGCCCGGCCCAGGCACTCCTGCTCTGTGCAGATGGGGAAACTGAGGGCCAAGAAGGGGAGAGCCACGGCCAAGGCTACCGAGGGAAATACGCCAAAGATGAGAGACATGAGCTGGCAAGAGTGGGTCTCCCTGCTCCCTCCATCCGAGCATCCTTCCTTCTTTCAGCTTCAAGGCCAAGACCTCAAGACTGTGCCCCTTGCTCCTCGGTCCTGCTGAGTGAGCCCGCCTCCTGTCCCAGCTTCACCTAGCTCAGCATCAGCACCGTAAAATGAGCATGTCACCATCCACCCCTCGGGCTTGCGAGGGCTCAAGGGAGTGATGTATCTGACAAGCTGCAGGACGCACCCCACACTGCTGCCTGATTAGCATCTGGGGTACTGGGGACACAGAAGCCTTGGCTGCTTGCCTCTCTTCACCAGCCTGGTACTCGGGCGCAGCTGCCCACGCCGAAGCCCCGAGGACCCTCTCCTACCGCCCAGTGACCCTGGCAGCTCTGGGCCCCCAAGCCTCAGCAGCAGAGAGGCACCAGCTGGGAGGGGGGCCAAACCCCGCTGGGCTCTGGGTAATACCACACTGGCCCTCACTTCCTCCTCTCTGGCCACAGTTTCCTCATCCGGGGCAAGGGCACCACCGTGGTGATCAAGACAAGACAGGAAGCGGCCTTGGACCACGTGAGGCCACGCTCCCGGATATACACAGACGCGTAAACAGGAAGGTCTGCAGGGAAGGCCAGCCTCGGTGGCTTCCGCCACAGGAGCAAAGATCTCCCCGAGTCGAGGAGCTGTGGGCAGCCCCAGGGAGGAGCTGGGGTCCTGGGGCCCGACTGGGAAAGGGCTAACCCGTGTGCCTGGTGCCCCCTTCCCAGGGGACCCTGGCCGGTTCCAGGCATCGACTCCCACTTGGTCTTCCAGGAGGCCTCAACTCCCTCCAAAGACTCAGTTGAACCCTGACCCAGCTGCCCAGTGAGGACAGGGTGTGTGTGTGTGTGTGTGTGTGTGTGTGTGTGTGTGTGTGTGTGTGTGTGTGTGAATTTGCCCTCTGCTTCCCCCAGCGTGGCCCCCGACACCCCAAATCACTAACTTTGCTAAAGGAAAGTGCTGAGAACTGGGAGGGAAGAGATGAAGAGGACTTGACTTGTTGAAGCCGCACCCATGCCGCCCATGCCTCTTGTCACAGCACGTCTAACACACTTTGGCTCTGTGTGTGTGGGCACACACAACCCCACGTGCCAGGCCTCCCCTGCCCCCCCGCCCTCTCACTCACCCCTGCCTCGGCCAGCCCTCAGACACACTCCCCACCCCACCCTACCCCCAAGTAGCCCCACAGGAAACCAGCCCAGGAGGCAAGTACTGGCTGCCTCGGCACACCCAGGCAGCAGAGGAGGGGCAGGGGCTGTCAGGAAGCCCGAAAGGCCCCCAGAACAGACCCTGCCGAGACATTCTCCTGCTGTCCTCCACCCTCAGAGCCGGGGCAGAACGGCACCTGGGGCTGGGATGGGGCAGCCTGGCCTGGGTGCGGGTCAGGGTGGGGACCTGACAGGGGCTACCACCCCGGCCACCCAACACACATCACTGCCCCCAGCGCCTGGCTGAGCCAGGATGGGCAGCAGGGAAGCTCCCACTGGAGAGACCAGGGAATAGAGGGACCCCGAGGAGGGACCCCATGAGAGGTGCAGTGGTGGGTGTGGGGGCACCTGGAGTCAGGGCCGGCCTGGGCACAGGCAGGACGGCAAGGAGCCCCCGAGGCCCAGGAGGAAGAGCAGAGAGAGGAACCCGGGGTGGATAGCCACCAACAGCTTCTCTCTTGAAGTCTCCAGGGGCCTCCACCCAGTAGAAATGCCTCTGAAAGCCCCTTGGGCCAGGGGCTGCTCCCAGAGCCCAAGGTCGCCCATTTGTCACCTGTTCCCTGGTCCTGGAGACCCACGTGTCAAGCAGCAGCTCCAGACGGGAGTGGTGGAAGGCCTGGGTAGTCTTGACTGCGATGAAGACATCCTGCAGCTGCAGCCCGGGGGGCCCGGCACTCAGGCTCACGTCAGGGGTCTCCTGCTCCCCCTGGGGGGACAGCTTCACGTGGTACCGTAGGGACAGAAGCCCCATGCACAGGAGGGTGAGGAGGGCTCCAGCCAGGCCCCGCAGGAGCCGGCACTGCATTGGCCTGGGGACCCCAGACAGCTCAGCCCCCAAATCCCAACCGCTCAGGCGGGGGCCCCAGCAGAGGCAACAGTCTGGCAGGCATCGGGGGCTGGCAGGGAGAGGGGAGGGGAGAGCTGGGGCTCTGGACCCAGAGGCCGAGCCATGGCAGCCCGTGCTGCCAGCCCCTCCACCTGCCCTGGCTGTCCTC